CGCCCTTAGGCGCCCGTCTGGTGTGCACGCACCTCGCCAGGGGTCTCTTCCTGTCCAGCCACCCCCTTAACTGTTTGCCGCATTTTCTACCTTAAGAAAGTGTTTTTCCCCCCCCTCAACTGGAATGATTTTCCTCATTCTGGTGTTGGGGGCTCGAGCCCGGGACTAGAAAGTTTTTAAATTTTATGTGGCTCACATACTTAAATGGGGCGGCTCTACTTTAGAGAATTATTTCTGTTCTCTTTTCCATACGTACCCTTAAGGGCCATTTTTGATTGGAAGCTCTGCAGGGGGCAAAGCAGGGCCTTGTGGCCCGGCCCTCCCCGCTGTCTCCTGGCGCTCGGTCATCTGTGGCCTTCGGCTCCCCTCGGCGCTTCAGCCGTGGGGCATTAGCGGCCTGGTCAGGTAGGGTGAGGTGATGGCAGAGCCTTGACCTTGAGTGGCTGTGGATGGCAGGGCTTGTAGGGCTGTACCACTGCCGCAGGGAAGGGCTTCTCGGTTTTCCTCGTTGCTCTCAAGTGGAAGTGCTGGTAATTTTTATTTTTGACTGTAGGGACTGGATCTGATGGCAGCGGTCTTTTCTGCCACGCGGAGAGGGTATGTCTCTTGTCAGACTTAATTACCAAGTTTGGTATTTTCTAACAGCTGTTGAGTGAGTCTGGAATAGTCTCCCATGCAGACACCAGTTGATTAGAAAGCTGGAAATGGAACAGAGGACTTGCACCAGTAGTGAAGGAGGGCATAAGCAACATGAACGCGTGGCAACGTGATTAGAATTAAATTGTTTGGGATTTGGATGTATTTATTCCAAGAGAATTGATCAGCAGCATTAGCTGCTGATGGAAACTAGCAAGATACTTGTAAGGCTACTCGGGGCTCCATTGCTTCCCCTCCCCAGGATAGCAAACCAGATATGAAGGAAGTGTTTGGTGCTTTTCAGTGCTTGCTGTGGACTTGCTTGGACTGTGTATACTGTGAAATTTCTTTTCATCCTTACGCATTTGTGCCAGATATTAGTTTAACTTGAATATACATTTGTTAATCTCAACAGGAATGTAAATAGGAGAGGTAATACCATCTCTGTTATCAAAAATTACTAGTTCAAAAACATTACTAGTTAAGGGGCTGGCATGATAGTACAGCAGTAGGGCACTTGCCTTGTATGTGGCCACCGGGTTTAATCCCTGGCATCCCATATGGTCCCCTGAGCATTGCCAGGTGTGGCCCCAAAACAAAATAGTTACTAGCTAATGTCAAAAGAAAAGTAGAAAGAGGAAAATGTTCCCTTAACATAGTGGGCGAACAACTTTTGGAAATGATCAGGTGCACGTTATTGGAGAGTGATCTCAGAATGCTCTGTTAGCAGTTAATTTGTTTAGTTAATTTGTTTGAATATGCTTAGGTTACTAAAGTAAACTGAAAATGACGAACCAGTGCGCTTTTTTTTTTCGGGGGGGTTATTTTTTGTTTTGGGGTCATACCAGGGGGTGCTGAGGGCTTACTCCTGAACCTCTGGTTGGTTCGGGGGACCCCGTGGGTGCTGGGGCATGCACCCTCTCTGCTCTACTCTCTCCTGCCCCCCGCAGGTTTTGAAGTGTTTTACTTGTGTTTGGTCCTGAGAGTCTGATCCTCTGAATCTTAAGTCTTAGCTTCGTGAGGCTAGCGATGCAGTTCCACTTGCATCCGGGTAAGCACACCCCAACCTGAACAGAGTAGATCTTTTAAAACTTGATAATTTACAGGCATTTGATACCTTTTATGGGCTGGAGCGATAGCCCAGCGGGTAGGGCGTTTGCCTTGCATGAGGTCCACCCTGCAGACCTGGAATTGATTTCTCCGCCCCTCTCGGAGAGCCTGGCAAGCTACCGAGAGTATATTGCCTGCACGGCAAATGATATGCCAGACACAGTTAACAACAAATCTCGCAATGGAGGCGTTCCTGGGCCCGCTCGAGCAAATAGATGAACAACGGGGTGACAGTGACAGTGATACCTTTAATATTCTTATCCTAAGCTATTTAAATGGGAATACATGATTTTATTTATTTATTTATTTATTTGACTTCTTGGCTTACACCCGGCAATGCTTGGGTTACTCCTGACTCTGCACTCAGGAATTACTCCTGGTGGAACTCGAGGGTAGGGCGTTTGCCTTGCACGTGGCTGACCTGGGTTTGATCCCTGGCATCCCATATGGTCCTCCAAGCACCGCCAGGAGTAATTCCTGAGTGCAGAGCCAGGAGTAACCCCTGAGCATTGCTGGGTGTGACCCAAAAAGCAAAAAAAAAAAAAAACAAACAAAAAAGAAATAAATTGAATTTGGGGGCACCAACCCCCCACCCCGTGTTACTGGCTCTCAGCAGAGATGCTCCTGCATCTCTGGTGCATGCAAGACAAACGCCTTCTCTCCTGTGCTCTCTCCAACCCAGAAACAAAACTTTTTTGTTTTCGGACCACTCCTGGCAGTGCTTAGGTCTTTACTCCTGGCTCTGTGCTCAGGGAGGACCCTATGAGGCGCCGGGGATTGAACCTGGCCTCATGCAAGCGAAGTACCCTACCTGCTCAACCATCTCTCCAGCCTGGGAATTACTCTTGCAAGTAATAACTTCCACAGGCATAACTAACGTGGAATCTTGAATTGAGAGTGAACCTGATACTGCAGAAGCAATGTAATATGTACCAATGTAATGTGACAGATTTCATTTTGTGTGTAGCTTAGTCGGTAAATTGTTCCTGGGATCCTCTTATTCTGTTAATATCAAATACATCGCTGAAGCTCAGCTTTTACTGTGACAAGAGTTTAGGATATGTCTTAACACAATTACATAAATGAGTTTAGTCAGAGAGTTTTATTAATAGCCCCCAAGATTACAGCTTAATTGCAACATAACAGACTATAAAGGGGATGAAGCCGTTCAGAGCACAGAACTTTTCAAACTTGCCCCAAGTTCTTTAGTGTCCCAGACGTAGTTGGGAGGGGCTCTTTTTCCAGGCCCTTGAGCGCACTGTGGGGTGCTCCTGCGCCCGTTCCTCCGGGCCGAGCTGGAAGGGCCGGTGCTGGGGCCTGTGTTCAGAGAATAAGCCGGGTCACCTAAAGATAGACTGGCTTCAGGCCGGCTGCCTCCTCGGGAGCGTTGGCGTGGAGCAGATTGCCTTAAATGGACAGAGCAGCTGGAGACGCAGCACCTTGGTGGAGAGGCGAGCGGCGGGCGAGCGCGACAGGTGGCCAGCTGGCCTCTGCCGGGGACGGGCCTGGCTCACGCAAGTTTGTGTTTTCCCGTGAAAAGTGGCCTGGGAGTACTTTTTCAACATTTCCATCTTACATGGTGCAATTTGAGTTTGGAAAATTTTATTAAGTGTCTATAAATACACCATTATAATCCTTTGAGAGCACCTCTTAAAATCAAATTAGAAAGTGAAACAAATTCATGTTTCACAACATCTCACCAAGAAGAATATTTGCCCACTTAGAATCAGGACATGAGGGGCCCGAGCCATCGTAGGGGGCTAGGTGCTTGCCTCACATAATGTTGACCTGGGTTTGATTCCCGGCACCCTGCAGTGTCCCCTACGCACTGCCAGAAATAAGCCCTGAGCATCACTGGGTGTGACCCCAAAAACAAATAAAAATAAGATGAATTAGGATGTGAAAGTAATGTGTCCTGAAGGTCATCCTGTTTGTGCCGGGGCGACAGTTTTCTTGGAAGGGTACTTGGCACTTAGTGCTCCTTCGGCATCGAAGAGGAATCTTGGTGCCTGTCCTGTGGGGTCAGTGTTTGCAACAAGAGGTAGTTAATTATGAGTGCGTGGGTCGGAGAGAGCGTCCAGTGAGCAGGGTCCTGGCCGTGTGCTTGACTGGCCCTGACTGATCCCTGAGCATCACAAACCAAGCAAAAGGCTAAGGGGACAGGCTCCGTGACCGGAACCCCCGAGGGTATAGTCTTGAGAGGATGCCAGGCCCTGTGTTTCTTTCTGGGAATCGTTTTATCCTCCGAGCTAAGTAATCTCCTGTGCGAGGAAACTGAGGCTTAGAAGAAAGTAGGCTGCTGACTGAGATGAACAGATTCTGAGCAACAGACTTGAAAGTGGTTACTGCAGTTTCAGAGTGATAAAACCAGCAAAGCATAAAGGAAGTGTTTGGAGAGTTTGGAAAGGTGGAGTCAGAAAAAAAACTTGCATGGTAACTGGAGGTGGGGGGGAGCAGACAATTTTGTGGCAGGGTTTTCTTTTTGTTAGTTTTCGGTCACAGCCAGTGATATTCAGACTCCTACAGTCTGAATTTACTCCTGGTGGTGTGCTGGGGATCAGAACTGATGCCGGGGATCGAATCTGGGTGCACTGCAAACTCCCTACCCGCTGTCCGGTAGCTCTGGCCCCGCTAACAAATTTTTCAAGGTAAATTATGTGTGAATCTCAGCAAAGACAGCCAGGTCTTGATAAGACTACAAGGATCCATGTGTAATGAAGAAAGTTCTCGAGTGTTCAAGCTGAAGAACTCAGCCTGACAAGTCTGATACATTAAATTAATTTAGGAGTGTGTTTTTCTGACTGGTCTTTTTTCTTGGGATTTCTGGAGCTTTAGTGACTGTCAAAATATGTAATTGATTGAACCCTAACCCCCCTCCCCCCCCACACCGCCTGCCCCAAGTTAGTTTAGGCTTAAAAATTCACATTTCAAAAGTCTTTGTAATTTCTAACCTCAGTGATTGCTTTATTAACCTTCCTCCCACCTTTTTTGTTTTTCTGTCTGGGTGACACCTGGCTGTGCTCTGGGGACCGTAGGTGGCGCTGCGGCGGGCAGAGTGGTGGCCACCTTCAAGGAAACACCTTCCCCGCTGGCCAGTCTCCCTCTAAGCAGCTCAGGCCGAAGGGTGCGCAGTCCAGTGGGGCCTTTGGCCTTGCTGGACGTGCTTTAGACAGTCTGTCTCAGTGACGCGGTTCCTGTCCGTTTCTCGCACGGTACACGTGCATGGTAACTGAGTGGGTCTTTTCCCCCCACAGTGGAGGCGTCTGTTCACGGCAGCAGTGCGCACTGTATGGACAAGACCATCGAGGCTGCCGAAGCACTGCTCCACATGGAGTCTCCGACCTGCTTGCGGGAGTCGAGAAGCCCCGGTACGTGAACATACTTCACTTGTCCGGGACGAAAGTGTCTTCCTAACGGAGGGATGACTGTTCTCAGAGTGTGAGGATGAACATCGGTAGCAAGAAGAATTGATCTGTATCTGCAAGTCTCCGCACTTCACTTCCGGAGAGACTGCCAGTCGGGCTAGTGCGCCTCATTTCCCCAACTCTGGGTCCATCCCACCCTTTGGCGTTGGTCCTTTGCGTGAGGCCCATGTGGGCCCATGACGTTACGCTGTGAGCTCTGGATCCTTGATGCATTGGTTGATGGCTCCCTGGCGGCTTGGAGGGAGATGAGCTCGTTTCTGCCATCTCCCTCCTGTTCCTTTGCCCCCTCCCAGAAGACTACCTTGGAGGGCCATTGTGTCCTGATTTTTTAATTTGCTCAAATTTTAATATCCTAGTACTAATTAGACTTAATAAATGTCAGATTGGCCCTTCTCAAGGGGTTTAGAATGACTCCCAGTTGAAGTAAGAACCTCATGTATTATTCAGGGGTCTGGGAAGAAAAGGAGAGCATATTGGTCAATATATTAATCTCGGAGAGTATGGAGCAGCGGTGTGTGTTGAAACAGACACATCAGACCCTGATTATTTCGGGTCTCCTGGATGCTGAGCGGTGCTGTGCAGAGGCCAGGTCCACTCTGTGCTGTGACCCTCCCATCGGATTTTACACGAGGCAACAGTCCCTGGACTCATTACTAATAAGCAGGGGTTCCTTTGCTTCAGATTCTAAAGTGATGATGAACTTTGACTGTTCCATGTGTTTACTTTCACGTCCGTCTGTCTTCCAGTGGAAGAATCATGCTGGGTCAGGGATATGGCTCCGCGGAGTCCTGGCTTGGAGCCCCGTGGTTCTTTGGCCCCCTCCCAAAACCTGTGGGTGGGTACTTGAAGACAGTTCCCATTAAAGAGCCTGTGGACGTTTTCCCAATTGTCAAAATAACTGAAAGTCTTTTCTCATGAGCTGAGAAACACCTCCAAGTGAATAAGGGATCGACGGTTTGTGATACCTCCTTACCTTATCAGTGTCCTCAAATCCAGCATCGATTTCAAATCCAAATCCAGTATCGATTTCCTCACATACTTTAGAGCCTACTGCACATTCACCAAATCAGCATCCGGCTTACCCTGTGGGGAGAACTTATTAGCAGGCCTTACTGCTACTGAATATTGAATTGCCCACATTGGGAACCAGTAATAGGGGTGGGGACATTTTAATTTTTCAACTTTTTTTTATAGTGGAAGTGTTTGTCCCTCCTTGTGTATCAACTCCAGAATTTATTCACGCTGCTATGCGACCTGACGTCATTACTGAAACGGTCGTGGAGGTGTCGACAGAGGAGTCTGAGCCCATGGACACCTCTCCGATACCAACATCTCCTGAGAGCCACGAGCCTATGAGAAAGAAAAAAGGTAGGGCGTTTGTGGACCTTTCTAGAAAGGCGGGCACATTTTGTGGGGGAGGTTTTTCCCCCCCCATCAAGGGACTTGGAAAATATGTGACATAAAGTTAGGATGTTGTCTTAATGAGAGATCCTCCAAAGGCAACAGACTGAGGGTTTATTTTGTGCTTTAACATATTTATACTGTGCAAAGGAGCATAAAAGTGCTTGCCTGAAAATAAGATTAAAGAAAATGTTAGTCACACAGCAGGAAGATGAGAGATTCAGTGTGGAACTTTCTACTTTCTACCTTTTAGGTATTGGTTATTTAAAAAAACAAAATATTCTTCATGGTTTTAAAATCTCCCCACCTTTCTTGTGGGCATTAAAGTAAAAAAGTCAGGTGATCACTGGTACCGCATCTGGGCCCCCATCTCCACTGGTTGTGGTCCAGAAGCAACACCCGCTCATCCCTCCCCGCCCCCTGAGGTAGAGTGCAGGACGAAGCCCAGTGTTCCTCGCTCTCCGTGCCTTGCGTTTTGTTTCTGTCTTGTGGCATGGGAATTGAATTTAGGTCTTGTGCTTGTGTATGAGGCTGTTAGTTACTATTAACACAGAGCCATATTCCCAGCCCTTACCTTGGATTTAAAGCACCAAGATTGCTGAGACACGCTTGTTTTTGTTCCTTGGTTTTTTTTTTTTTCCTTTTGTCACACCCAGTGGTCCTCAGGACCTATGCTTAGCTCTGCACTTAGGGACCACAGGACACCATATGTGGTACTGGGGATTGAACCCAGGTTGGCTGCGTGCAAGACAAGTGCCTAGTCACTGTGCTATCACTCCAGCCCCAACTGGAAGACACTGTTAAGTGGAAAAAATAGTGAGTAGGGACCAGTTTCGCCTCTGTGACTCTGGCTGGCAGCTGTACTCATCGGGGCCCTGAATGAGGCCCAAGGCTCCTGGGCATCCCATGGGACCGGAGGAGGTGGTGTGGCCTTGTCCTGTTTGAAGCAAAGGTAGCACTGGCGAGTGAAGAAATGAAATCTGATAGAATTTAGTACTCACGTATTCTATGCCCTGGGCCTGTGCCCGTTGCTGTGGGTTCTGATAAAGGAAGAGTGTCACCCTTCATAACACATGAAGGGTGGCTGTCTCCTGAGAGCTCTGAATGAAAGAAACGAGAAGACTTGCTTCTATAAATATTTGTAGACAAAGGCTGTTTCCAGTGGCAGCTTTCTAAGGAGGGAAGGACCCAGAAAAGCTGGCGTGAATGATCCAACTGAGACCAGAAGCAAGAGATAAGCGACAAGTTTAGTGTTCGGGGAAGTGGTCTTAATGGGGATGGGCTTACTGACCCAAAATCACACACCAAAACATCCTATGGCTGTGGTTAAGTGCACTTGGGGCAAGGTTAGGTAGGTGCCATTGCTCTTGTTGGTGACAGCTTCTCTTTCTATTTTCAAATCTTAGTAGTCTAGACTAGTAAGTGTCTTTAAGACGGTGTCGCGTGAAGTATACAAAAGTTAGTTTTACTGTATTGGTAAGAGAGTCACTGTCACTGTCCTCCTGTTGTTCATCGATTTGCCCGAGTGGGCCTAGGAACATTGTGAGACTTGTGTTACTATGTTTGACATATCGAATATGCCAGGCGAGATATTCTCAGTAGCTTGCCAGTCTCTCCAAGAGGGGCGGAAGAATCGAACTTCTGTTGGCCTGGTTGGCTGAGTGCAAGGCAAACGCCCTACCAGCTGTGCTATCGCTCTAGCCTGGTAAGAGAGTACAGAGGGCGTAATGCACCTCCAGAAGTTAGCCCTGAGCACAGAGCCAGGAGTAAACTTCCTAGCACAGTTGGGTGTGTATGTATGTAGGTATGACCGAAAATAAAAAAAAAATTTTAAAAGGGTAATTTTACTCCAAAGCACCCCTCCCCTCCCAATTTTAAGTACTTCGGTACTGTTGGTTGGGCACAGCAGGTAGGGCGTTTGCCTTGCATGCGGACAACATGGCCAACCCTAGTACAATTCCTCTGCCCCTCTTGGAGGGCCCGGCAAGCTACTCAGAGTATCTCGCCCGCATGGCAGAGCCTGGCAAGCTCCCTGTGGCGTATTCAATATGCCAAACACAGTTACAAGTTTCACAATGTTACTGGGCCCGCTCGAGCAAATCGATGAACAGCAGGAGGACAGTGCTCCTGTTGGTTAAAACGCTGGCTGCATAGGAAACACAATTTACCCGTTAGGGTTAACTTTTCCTTAAACTTTCATCCTTGAAATCAGGATTTGGCAAAGATGTTAGTCATTTTTACTGATTTCCTACATGTAAAAGTTACTTAAAATTGAGAAATTAACCTGTTTTTTTTTTTTTTTTTTTTTTTTTTTTTGGTTTTTGGGTCACACCCGGCGATGCTCAGGGGTTACTCCTGGCTCTTGCACTCAGGAATTGCTCCTGGCGGTGCTCGGGGGACCATATGGGGTGCTGGGAATCGAACCTGTGTCGGTCATGTTGGCTGCGTGCAAGGCAAACGCCCTACCCGCTATGCTATCGGTCCAGCCCCGAAATTAACCTGTTTTAAGAAGGAGGTCAGTGAGCTTTTGATTTGAATTTTTGCCAAAGTATTCTTCCAGATGATCAGGATTACCTTAATAAAATCTTAAATCATAATAGCTCTGTATTTTAAATAGACACTTATATCAGCTCTTTCTCTTCCCCCCCCCCCCCCCGGGTCACACCCAGAGATACTTAGGGATTATTCCTGGCTTGCACTTAGGAATTATTCCTGGTGGTGCTCTGGGAGCCATATGGAATGCCAGGGATCAAACTCGGCCTGGCCACATGCAAGGCAAACGTCCTCCCCACTGTACTATCACTCTGGCTCCAGTTCAGCTCTTTATTTAGCTCTAAATAATCCTTGCTAATGCAGAATAGAGTGACAGGTAATCAGTAATAATCCATTTAGTCTGGAAATAGGATCTAGTACAGAATCCTCCCTCAGTGCCGGATGCCGACTCCCATGTTTGAGATTTGGAGTCAGCGTAGAGCAGCTTTGCTTCCTCTCACTGCTCTAGATGTGTCGAGAGTCTGTGCCAGGAGTGAGTAGAACGGGACGGACACCCATGGATTAGCCATGAAATCATTACTTGGAAGACATTTTTTACTGTCTTGATGTGTGTTTGTATTAAAGTGGGGGGATTTGAACAGTGATGCTTGAAATCTGGGATATTGATTGGCTTAGAATGTTTGAAACAATCTTTTTGAGCTCAAAAAGATTATTAGATTATTAGCTCCTCAGCAGTAGGGAGTGGAAGGATTTATCTAACAATATTATACAACAACAAACAAAAGTTATACTGAGACTGGTTTTTATTGCTGTGTTGTTGAAACAGGTTAGCACATTGAGCCTCTGATCATAGAAATAACAGATGAGTCGTACCTGATTTCTCATAGAGCTCTGAATGCTCCTGCCAACTGACCGTTGTAATCTAAGATACAGAAATGTTTTCAATACTCTCTCTAAAAGCAATTTTTATGTGCAAAGTACATTAATCTGCAAATGGATGTTCACTTTCAAAGTTGGATAATCTTATTTTTCTTGTTTGCAATGTAGTCTTATACCCCCTCCCTTTTTTTTTTCCAGTTGGCCGTAAACCAAAGACCCAGCAATCACCAATTTCCAATGGGTCTCCTGAGTTAGGTATAAAGAAGAAGCCCAGGGAAGGAAAAGGTAACTGGGTGGGTTGTTTGGGAAGTGTTGGTTTTACTCATCCGGAGCTCAGGCATCTGGGGGCCTTGGGGGTGCCGGTGCTTGTACAGGGAAGGAGCCACTGTTCTGTGCCAGCTTAACTTTGGTTTCTCCCGAGTTTCATACAGGACATGGCCCAGCACTCGGGCTGTTTATACAGTACCTCTTGGGCCAGAGGCGCTCAGGGTCCACCAGGGCCAAGCCTGGCAGTGCCAGGTGAGGGATCAGTGGGGGGTTATGTGGTGCTGGGAGTTGGTTTTGGCTTTTTCAAGTACAGAACGTAAGCTATAGCCCTTTGAGATGTTTTCTCTTTTTGGTGCGGGGACAGGTCTGGGTGGTATTTAGGGGTAAAGGGGGCTCCTCATGGTGATTCAGCCCTGGTCGACAGGTGCCTGCTGGGGCGTAAGGTTAGGGTGTTGGATCTGCGCTCAGGAATCACGGCTTTGGGGCCCTATGGGATGCTAGGGATTGAACCCTGGTTGGCTGCCTGCAAAGCAAGCACCTTCCCCACGGTACTCGCTCAGGCCTCGAGGGATCACTTCTGACAGTGCTTTGGGTACCTTACGTGGTGCTGGGGATCGAATTCAGGGTCACCTGCATGCAAAGCAAAAAGGCTTCCCTTTCTGAATTCTGTGTCTTTCCCAAATCCTGCCTGGAAAACACTTGCTGATCCCTACCTTGGGGAGGAGATCGATGGAGTGGAACAATTTCAGATCTACGAGGGCGAAAGATGTGGCCCATGACTGGAAAGAAACAAAAACGATGAGTGTTCCCTTTAGTTAACGCATCGTGTTGGCTTGCATAAAATCCCTCTGCGCTGGGGAGAAAACGGACTAAGGCACTGGTCGTGCACACTGGGGACTCTAGTTCAGCCCCCAGCGCCACATGATCCCTGAGACAGCCAGGACTAGCCTCCAAGCACTGTCGAGTGTGACTTTTAGACTGATATGTAAAAACAAGTTTAGTGGGTTTTTGAGGTTCTTTTTTCTTTCTTCTTTTTTTCTTTTTGGGTCACACCTGGCGATGCATAGGAGTTACTCCTGGCGGTACTTGAGGGACCATATGGGATGTTGAAAATCGAACCCGGGTCTGCCACGTGCAAGGCAAACGCCCTACCCGCTGTGCTATGGCTCCAGCCCCAGTTTAGTGTTTTTTTGAGGTGCAATTTATTTTATTCAGATTTCAAACGTGGGTAACTTTGATTCAGTTTAATCTGGGTTCACTTTGTTAAGTAAATTATTCTGCCTTGCCTTTACTGAACCCAGAGCCAGAGATGGGGCTGGAGCCATAGTGTAGTGGGAAGACACTTGATTTGCATGTGTGCGACCTGGGTTCAACCTGGCATCTCATTTGGTCCTCTGAGCTCCACCAGGTGTGGTCCAGAAACTTAAAAAAAAAAGAAAAAAGAAAACCCAAAAATAAATCAGAAGACAGCCAAGAAAAGCCAAATCCATGAAAAGGAAGGAGACAAGGCCCGTGAGCCGGGAGCTCTGTGGGAACTGGTGGCGTGCAGTGGGCACCGGCAGACGGGCATCGCAGGGGTGGAGGGCTGGCCACTGTTCGCGTGCTGGGGACAGGCAGGACTCAGGAGCCAGGCATTTTCTTTTGTCACTAATGAATTATGCTAGTGCAATTAAGCGTTTGTATTTAAGTACATTAGCGAGTTTTGCATTACTATAATTTTTTTTATTATCATTGTTTTCAAAGGAAACACAACCTATTTGTGGGAGTTTCTTCTAGATCTCCTTCAAGATAAAAATACTTGTCCTCGGTATATTAAGTGGACTCAGAGAGAAAAGGGCATATTTAAGCTTGTGGACTCGAAAGCTGTCTCGAAGCTTTGGGGAAAGCACAAGAACAAGCCAGACATGAACTATGAAACGATGGGACGGGCTTTGAGGTAAGAACACAAAAAATTAACCTTCAGATCAGACAGATCTTCACACTATATGTTAGCTGTTCAGAGCGACATGGTTAGAAGTTTATTTATTGCTTTTTGGGTCACACCCGGCGATGCTCAGTGTATACTGCTGGCTGCACCCAGGAATTACTCTTGGTGGTGCTTGGGGGACCCTATGGGATGCTGGGAATCAAACCTGGGTCGGCCACATGCAAGGCAAACGCCCTACCTGTGTGCTATTGCTCCAGCCCCTAGAAGTTTCTTAATAACTTTTAGTCTGGGAAATATTTTAGGGCCCCACTGCTTTTTGGAGTTAGAATTTGGGGCCACACCTAGCAGTGCTCAGGGGCTACTCTTGGGGTTACTTGGAAAACGTGCTTTTGCAGAAAGTTCACTTTTGCACTTAAAAGTTATTTATTTCTCACACAGAAAGTTGTAAGGCTTTTCCTCGGACCTCGTGGTGGTTGGGCCACACCTGGCCGTACTCACAGCTTATCCTAGTTGGTGTTGGCTTGGCCGCGTGCCAGGCTAGTGCCTGCCTCTCTCCTCCCCAAAGTGGCAAAGCTTGGAAGAAAACTAAACCCAGACCAAATGAGTTTCCAAACTCCTAGCATTTAGTTTCGCAGATTGTTGAGTGACTTTCGTCTGGATAGACAGCTGTCTCCTAGGCCTCGAGACTCGCACGGGTCTGGCTTGTCATTAGTGTTGGGTGGGATTCCTCCCCCCCTCCCCCCACCCTAGCTGAGAAGAGCTGCTGAGGTGGCTTGCCACTTAGGGCCTGTGTAAATCAGTGTCTGTAAAATACAGAGAAACGGTTGTAGGCAAAATGACTTCCTTACGGGAGGTGAGAGGCTGGAGAGATGAGCACGGCTTTGCAGGCAAGAGCCCTGGGCTCCCTCCCATTTCTCCGTGTTCCTCCAAGCCCTATCAGGAGGTGTCCCTGAGCCCCACTGGGTGCGGCCCCCCAAAAAAGAGGATTCTGAGCGACTTAGGTTCTCGGACACCAGGTTCCAACTTTGTGCTCCAAACGCTTCGCCTTTCCAGCGGTGAGGCAGAAGGCACTCACACCCTTACGGGAGCAGGGCCCGGCTAGTCCCCACGGTGTTGGGAGCTGGTGGGCTCGGGGGTAACACGTGACCGACTTGTGCGTTTCCTGGCAGATACTACTACCAAAGGGGCATTCTGGCGAAGGTCGAGGGACAGCGGCTTGTCTACCAGTTCAAGGACATGCCCAAAAACATCGTGGTCATCGATGACGACAAGAGTGAAGCCTGCAGTGAAGAGTTGGCAGCGGCTTCTGACGACAAGTCCCTGGAGCGCGTGTCGGTGTCTGCAGAAAGCCTCCTGAAGGTGGCGGCGTCCGTGCGCGGCGGGAAGAACGCCTCACCGCTCAGCTGCTCCCGGACAGACAAGAGCGTCGCGCGGGTGCTGAATATCACGTCCCCTGGTCACGACTCTTCATCCAGATCGCCACCTGCCACTGCTTCTGTGGCCTCTCCAGCAGCTCCACGGTGAGGGAGGGGACGGCCCTGGGGACAGTGCACTTTCTCGAAAGTTCCTTGATGGCAATGGTGGGTTTCTCTTTTAATGTTAGCCTTTTAAGAACCCACTGATTGTAGGTGTATTTGATTTTCCATGGAGATGTGTCAACTCACTGAAATTGCTTGTTAACGGCGATTTAAGAACTTAACGTGGGCTTTTCCCAAATGTGTGGTTTTGTGATCTTTCATATTCTGCCCTTCAGGGATTCTCAGAGTGTTTGTAAAGTCTAGGAACACCATACACGGTTCGGGTGTGTGTGCCTCATTCTGTTCCAGACCAGTTTTCTAATACTGAAACTTTTTGGAATCTAGGACAGTCCGTGTGGCGATGCAGGTCCCCGTCGTAATGACATCGTTGGGTCAGAAAATCTCCACGGTGGCCGTCCAGTCTGTGAACGCGGGCGCGCCATTGGTCAGCAGCAGCAGCCCCGGCACCGCGAGCTCCCCGAAGGTGGTGATCCAGACCATCCCCACCGTGGTGCCTGCCGCGGCCGAGAGCGGAGACAAAATCACCATGCAGCCTGCCAAGATCATCACCATCCCTGCCACGCAGCTGGCGCAGTGCCAGCTGCAGACCAAGTCCAGTCTGCCTGGCTCGGGCAGCATTAACATTGTGGGCACCCCTCTGGCCGTGAGAGCACTTACCCCCGTTTCCATCGCCCATGGTACCCCCGTCATGAGACTCTCCGTGCCTGCCCCCCAGACCTCCAGCCAGACACCCCCCCGGGTAATCAGCGCGGTCATCAAGGGGCCCGAGGCTCAGGCCGAAGCCTTGGCCAAAAGGCCAGAGCATGACGGGAAGACCTTGCAGCTGGCCCAGGAGGAAAAGCCCGCCGACGGCGGCAAGACGGTCACCCACGTCGTGGTGGTCAGCGCGCCGTCAGCCATCGCCCTTCCCGTCACCATGAAAACGGAGGGACTCGTGACCTGTGAGAAGTAAGACTGTCCGTGATGGAACTGACGGAAACACTTGGAAGGGATGGCTGCGGGGAAAGTCAAAGAAGACTGACTTTAAACGTTTTGATGCGTAGGAGAAAATCATCTTACTGGAAGTCAATTACCTTTCCCATGTTTCAGTGGGAAGTGAACTAACTTCATATCAGATGCTGACGGAAACTGCCTCTTCCGGTGGGACGCGGAGCCCGTCCGTCCATCAGAAGGCTCAGAGGGACCAAGCCAGTCACTACAATGTCAGTCACACTAAGCCTCGGCACACTAACGTTCTGTAAGAGGGACAGTTCCACGGGGTAGGGGCGGGCGATCGCATTGTTACCTAGAGCGATTCTCGATGCATTTTATATGCATACCAGCAATTCTTACTGTGTTCACACAGAACTCACTTAACTGGTGCTATGTGAAGACTCTGCTAATATAGTTCTTGTAGAATGTGAATTGAAGAACGGATCCAAAAGCTTCAGAAGGAGGAGAGCAAAAAATGACCTAGTGTGTTTTTTTCCTTTGGGTTTTTTTTTTTGTTTGTTTTGTTTTGTTTTTTATCATATAGCTTTTAAGCTGATTTAAAACAAAGGCCTTAGACTAATTTTCGGTTTTCTTTCTTGAAATAAGCTAATGGCTTGTTTGTGTAAAGCTTTTTTATTAAAGAAAAATTTTAAAATCTTGTACCTAGCACAGTATTGTTATAGAATTTACATGTAACATTTTATATGGTAGTTTAAGTCTGTCGGTTTCTTAATTGTGGACAAATTCACAGTTGGCTCCGGCCTTTTGCTGTCACATGCCTGTGTCACTCAGCAGCCCTGCATCGGTGCCGACATAGCAGTTCAGGCCCAGCATGAATTTTTGTCAGATAGCTCTAATACCTGGAGTTTTTTTTTCTTTTTTTTAGTTGAAGTTTAAGAGGGAAAGTACCAGTGTTCAGATTTGAACTATAATAGTTTGTATATTCAACATTTGAAGTATATTCTATTTTGTTGTACTCTTGTTTCAAAGTGTATTCAAGTAGGTTTTCTGAAATATAGATATGAAATTTATCTTGTGTTTGGTCTTTGGTGGTATTCCTAACACTATTCCAGAGGTAGCGGGGAGCCTGGTTCAGGAGTCCGGCCGGCTGCCATGGTAGAAGCTGTTTCTCTGGCCCAGGACGTGGACATTAGGCACATCCCCTCCATGTTGCTGCCTTCTTTCTACTTATTAGTGCGAATTCTACAGCCCTACACCTCGCGATGGAGTTGCTGTTGCATGTTGACTGCACATACTGATTTACACGTATGTGTCAGATCACTTCATTCTCGGTTCGGAGGAATGAGGACTCCTTGGCCCTTTGACAGATCTGAGCGCAGAGGTAGCCGTGGGTGGGGAGCATTTCACACCCAGCTACACCGTCACATCTTTATTCTCTTTCTACTCCCAGGAAAATTGTTTTTGTGGCCTTGAATTGTGTGTTTTATCAGCTTCTAGGGTCAACAAAAATGTTTGTAACAACTTCTGTTGTAATCTTTTTTTCTCTTGCCCACAAATACACGACAGCCCTTGAAATACTCCGTCCTTCAAGCGTTTCTTGGGGAGCGGGTCTCCTAAGAAGCCCACCTTGAACCCGCACTGTGGCACTTCTGAGTTCCAGCCCCGGAGTCTCGCTCGATGGGTCTGGTTTGGTGTTCTCCCGGGGCCAGCGTGAGTGGCAAGTGTGTGAGAGGTCCTTCCTGGAGACGCAGACATTGCGCGCATCTGGTAACGGTTACTACAAACTTAGGTCATGCTGTGTGTGTGGCTCAAAATTGAAGCGCCAACTTCCAGGCGGACGTCATTGAACGCGCGGTGATTCGCTTCGGCCACACCTGCCTAGCTTGGCCCGATGCTACCTGAACGCTTCTTTGTGTCTTTCGGATAAGTACCTGAGGTGTCGATTTGCAGTCAGTCATCCTCACCCGTTTGTGCTGGCTGGCTGGCAGAAATGGGCAATGAGCTGGCAGGGCGTTTGCTCACAGCCCGTGCGAGTTGGAGACCGTGAGCTTGTATCTGCCTCAGAGCCACGTCGAGCCACCACTGCAGCGCCTCCACCTCCCGTCCACTGCCCGTCCCTGCAGCCAGGCCCCTCGCTCTGTGAGCATCTACTTCCTCCGGGCCCATCCTTGCGTCCTCTTTGCTCTCCTGTCCACCTCTAGGGGCTCCTTGGTCACGGTTCCAGCCCACCGCCCGGCTCTCCAGTGAGTTCTCGGTCTCAGGCCGGTTTCTCCGCCGCGCTGGCGGCCCTGGCTCCTCTTGGGATCTGCTTTGCTTTGCCGTCTCCTTGAGGCTCTTCCTCAGACGATAGTTCCAAGTGTTGAATCGATGTGTTGAGGATTTAGATCCTGTGTTTGGCAGGATAACTCCCACTCATCAAAAGTTTGCTGTCCTTGGCGGTCTTGTGTGCGTGATGGTCAGGGGGACTGGACCGGCTCTGCTCTAGCTGTGGGTCTGGGGATTGGGAACAAGGGTCGCCCCCGGCCACCCTGCCCGCCTCCGTCTCCCACCCTCCAGCTAACACTCAAGCTCTGGGAAGGGTTTCTCGAATTCCACTGGCTCTTCTCAGTGTCCAAATGAATTCCCTTCCGTTTCAGATCTTTTGTCTGCTTTATGACATAATCACTCCTACATGACATAATCAGCAGCCAAGGGCCCTTCTAGAAACCTCCCCAGCAGTCTTTGCCCAGGTTCCACGGCAGGAGTCTTAGTTCCTCTCGGGGCTGGAGAGATAGCACAGCGGGTAGGGCATTTGCCTTGCTTGCGGCCGACTCGGGTTCGATTCCCAGCATCCCATGTGGTCCCCTGAGCACCAGCAGGAGTAATTCCTGAGTGCAGAGCCAGGAGTAACCCCTGAGCATCGCCAGATGTGACCCAAAAAGAGATTTAAAAAAAAAAAAGTTCCTCTCCCAGGACTGCAGAGAGCTCGGGGCTTAAAGTGCTTGTCTTACATGGCATCCGGCCCGTGTACCTTTTTCTAACTCATGGTCACCTGAGCTCAGAGCCTGTGGCTCAGACCCTCTCCCAGGCCCCCCCTGCCTGAAGCCCGCCACTCCACAGTGGCTGCTGCCTCCCTCCCCAGGAACCTTCTGAGATGCCAAGAGTTGACGCGGGCGGGGTGCTTCCTTTGTTCTTCCAGTCCTCGCCGGCCCAGCTCTGCTGGTGCATCTTTCTGGACCGTTCTTTGTCGTGGACTGGAGTTTGCTCTTGGAGGTGACCGCGCCTCAGAACACAAGTTTCAGAAATAGGTTTGGGAAGTGCAGTGGAAGTGAGGTGGCCTTTGGGGAGAAATTTCCTTGGGGACTAGCAGTGCGGGGCAGGTGGCGGCAGGGACAGCAGCGTCACCTCGGGGCTGCTGTGGACACTGTTGGGGTCCAGCAGCTGGCCTCTGCTCACTGTGTCTTCAGGTGCTCCCGCCGCGGAAGCCACGACTCCCCACACAGTACCATTTCCCACGCTCCCAACCTCACAGCCTTCTAGCACCTCCTTTTCTGTTCGCGCTTCCAATGTGTGAGTTGGGGTCCCCGGGTCCCTCACTGCCAGGTGGAGGCCACCAGTTTCCCCTCCACAGCACGTGCCTCCCTCTGTGCTAGCCTGAGCCCCCACAGCTGCCCCTGGGACCCCCGCAGCCTTTTAGCTTGGGTGTCCTCGGGAACACGGATTTCTGGTGCTTTCAGGAGATCCGGAGCCAGAACGCCCTCCGTGTCAATGAAGGTGCTTCTGAGTTGGACAGGAACGGCTACCTTGCTGCATACCAGGGCCCCCCAGAGAGATGTCACACCCCCACGGCCCAGTTTGTACTTGGGCCAGTTAAATCAGGGCATGGCACGGCCCTCCACTTCAGGCGACTTCTCTGCTCAGACTGAGTGTTGTGTTACTACCAACGACTTAAAAACACATCCTGTACCCATCCTTGACTCTGGCCTTTTTTTCCCTCACATGAAACTCTGGAATGAGTCTAGTGAAATCCCACATCACTGTGCCTTGTCTTTAGATAGCTTGCGGAGGTTCCGTACGATAGTTCCAACAGTGCTGCCATCATTTAAAAACACCTGGCTTATTTCCCAGAACAGAACCTATATGAGGCCAGACCCGCTGGTGCTCAGGGGCTATTCCTGGCCTTGCGTTCAGGAGTGACCCCTGGCAGTTTCTGGGGGGACCATGTATGGTGCTGGGGATCGATCTGCCTTCACTCAATCTACCGCCTTAAACGGACTGAATCGACCCCAGTTTGCTCAGAAGAAGATTGTAGTTTTAGAAATGGCCAAGTCACCTGAGGCTCACTGATGCGAATCATGCCATACTTAGTTTGACGAGACACATCTAGAAAACCCACCCGGGTACAGGGAAGCAGTTCCAAGAGGTTTGGAGCAGTTGAAACAAACTCTGGTTCTGAAGCACAAATCAGAATTGGACCGTTTTAAGAATCCGTTGCACTGTTCCTTGTGTTAGGAACAAGAACTTCTCAGCAAGACTCTGGACTCAACATAGAAACAGAACTCGGCCCCTGCGGGCAGTTAAACTTTAGCCCCAACCTCCAAAAAGGAGTGTGGGGAGAGGGAAGAATAGTCTCGGAATAAATGACCCGAGTGTTGCCAGGGCTGTGGGTGCTTCGGGGTCTCCCCATGATCCCTTCAGGTTTGCCGACCCGGACGCCCAAATCCAGAATCCACCAGCGTATGGTCCCGCTTCTGGCCCAGCACCTGTCAGGTTAGGCTAACGTTCTAGACCTGTGTAACTCGCAAAAATTTCAAGTTGTTGGAAGAATAAGTGAAAGTAACCCAGTCCAGTGAAACGAGTCCAAGAAGACGAGGCAAAGGAAAACAGCCCGGCTGAGACAACTCGGTCAGGTGAGCGCTACCGTGGGGCTTGGAGTGTCTGGCCACTGAGCCAACCTGTGACCCCCTCCTTGAGCCTCGGGGCTGCCCTGCCTCTGGCTGTGTCTGCTTTATTATTTTTCTGGTGTTTGGGCCTCCTCAGGTCATGCTCAGGGCTTACTCCTGGCTCTGCGCTCAGGGAGCCGTATATGATGCGGGGATCGGATGTGCACATGCAAAGCCAACGCCTTCCCCACTCTCTCCAGCATTGTTAAGTACCTGGGTGGGATTTTTAAAGTTTCTGGGACTTTGTGGACCCCACAGAACATGGACATCTGGACCAGAGGCAGGACCCGGGGTACACGACCACAAAAAGTTTAGGAAGCAAATTGTCATCCTATGCCCTTCGTCCGCCTGGGGTTTTTCTTACGGTCCCTCAGACAGATGGGACTGGTCCCCTCCTACCCTTGAGTTTCTTTCCTTGGGGATGAGGGGGGTCCCCTAGAGAGGGTGGAGGCTGGCCACAGGCAGAGAAGTACAGGGTGTGCCTTTGCTCACGTCAGTGATGCGTCACAATTTACGGCACTTGATAAACATTTCTGGGGGGAGAGGGGGCACCGGCCAGGGGCGGCTCTGCCTGACGGGAAACAGGCCGGAGGTGTGGAAAGCGTCCCTGTCGCCCTGTGTCCACTTGGGCCCCAGTCCTTCCCCACTGCCAAGCAGGCCTGAGCCCTTCAGCACTTCACCCATGGAAATAAAAAGCCTGCCTAGGGCACACTCAGGAAGAACCCATGAGCTGGAGCTGGTGACACACTTGCCGTGCACGCGGCTGGCCCAGGTTCAATCCCCAAAGGACCCCCGAGTGCAACTGGGCGTTATTCTCATCATCCCCCCGCCCCCCGGGAACAAAACAAAATCCATGCAGTTGCACTGATGCTATGGGGTGAGGCATTTGCCGCGGGGGCAGCGGCTCTGGCACCCCCGGCACCAATTCAAGACCCAGCTCCGCACTATGGTCCCCTGAGCACCGCACCCCTACCCCAACCCCACCCACTTCAGCGCCTCACGCAAGCATTTCTCTCTCGTTACTAAAATTAGCATCCAGTCTGACAGCCTGCAACCTGACCTCGGCAGATAAGACATCTTCATCGTAAAATCCTGGATGCTTCAAAAATGATTCAGAGGCACGGCAGCTGCGCCCGGGCACCCGTCTGCAACACCAAGCACCTCTTAGTGTTTCTCTCCCAATAAGCTGCCAACAGCTCAGGGCTGGGGGGCACAGCAGCCGGCCCCAACGTGGCTCGTGGGGGTCCCTTTCCTCCGACGCGATCTCTCCCCAGCCAGCGCCAGTCTCTGCTTTGTGCTCAGTCAAGGCGAGGACGCGGAGGGCGCCTTTGGGTGGCGCGCGCACCGTGTCCGCACACTCTTTCCAGAGTGTCCCCGCCTCAGCGCTGAGGCCGGGGTGCAGGGCCCGTAGGTCTGAGTGAAGTACCTGCTCCCGGATTCGCCGACTCACAGACAAAACACTCAATGCTCGAGCTTGAAGGGGTCATTTATTAGTGTCAGACTGTACACGCTCACGGGCCGGAACCCAATTCCCTGTGATCTGTGTGGCCGTACGTGGACACGGGGGGTGCCTGAGCTCGACGATGACGACGACTTAGGAAAGGCAGATGAGGTTACCCCAAGACAGAGTCCCCTCGGAGGAGCAAACGCACCCCTCTGGGCCCGCTCGGGGCTGCTGAGAGAGAGCTCCCGGGAGAGAGCGGGCGGGCCTCCACAGATCACTCTGCACCTCGGGTTCCGCGTGGCTCTCCAGTGTTCATGATGCTAGTTTCTTTAATTTTTTACACGAGGATATAAAAAATAAATATCGCCATGCGTGTCTGGTTGACATTCCCCAACCCCACCGAGAGACGCGGGCAGGCCGGGCTGAGGTGGGGGGCACGTGGGCAGGCACCTCTTTGGATGGGGCGTCGGCACGCGGGGTGGGGGATGGGGGGGCAGCTCACACACGAAGCGTGGGAGGAGCCCGCCGGGGACCCCCAGGCGGCCCCGCGAGAGAGGACACAAAGCACGCACACCCGGAGGGCCAGGCCCGCGTCAGGAGCCGGAGGCTTTAATGGCAACGGTTTTGACGGGGGGGCCCCCCAAGCCCGCCAGGCTCCCGGAGGGAGGCGCGGGTCTTGCCGGGCGCGGGCGCCTACAGGCGTCCGCTGGGCTCGTCGTTGAAGCTGAAGTCGCAGACCAGGGACAGGTGGTCCGAGGGGTAGTTGAAGGAGGGCAGGCGGTTGGGTCCGATCTGCTCCTCGGTGAGCAGGGCCAGCGCGGCCCGCACGCTCAGGGCCTGCTGCGAGTACCAGATGTAGTCGAGCGTGTGCCGGCACTCGCCCGACGTGCGGATCTTCCAGGTGGTGTAGGGCGGCTCCGACTGCCCGTCGGCGCTCAGCAGCTTGTAGGCGCTGTCCAGGTTGAGGCTGGACGAGGCGAAGTGCCGGTACACCTCCTCGCTGGGCTCGGCGTTGAAGTCCCCGCACACGATGAGTGGCAGCTTGGCCCCCTGCGTGATGGCCTGCAGGTTCTCCAGGAGGTCGCAGCCCTGGGCCGAGCGGAAGCGCTCCCAGCCCGTGCGCGCCTTCAGGTGGGTGACGGCCACGCAGAACTGCCGCCGGGACTCCTTGCACTCCAGGGTCTGCGCGATGGCCACCTGGTTGGTCTTGAGGGTCATGGCCGTCAGCCGGATGTTGGCCGTGTCCAGCAGCCGGAAGCGGCTCTGCAGGAAGAAGAGGGCGCAGCCGTCGGGGCCGTTGTTGTGCTCCACGTCCAGGCACGGGGACCAGGGCTTGGGGAAGAAGGTGCCCTGGTAGCCCAGGCGGCCGAGCAGCGGCTGGAAGGTGTCGAAGTAGTGGTCGACCTCCTGCAGGCACAGGATGTGCGGCTGGTAGGCCAGGATCTCCTCCAGGATGAGGCACTTCCGCTCCTCCCAACGCAGCGCCTCCAGCGGGCACTGTGCGAAGTTGTCCTTGCCTTCCCCGAGCGCTGCAACGGAACGGCCCGTCAGGAGGGGTGGGGCGGTGGCCTGCGACCTCGGCCCCCTGGGGCCCCGGGGACCGGGACAGCGGTCAGCCCCCGCGGCCCCGGGGACCGGGACAGCGGTCAGCCCCCGCGGCCCCGGGGACCGGGACAGCGGTCAGCCCCCGCGGCCCCGGGGACCAGGACAGCTCAGCCCCCACAGCCCTGGAGAGCAGGACAGTGGTCAGCGGTCTCAGCCCCGGAGACCCCTCCTCCACCTCCCGGGCTCTGTGCAAACACCCCCCTCCCTGGAGGGAGCAGCCCCTGACGTGTCTCCCAGGCGTGGCTTCCAGGGACTCCTGCTGGGACCCGACCCTGAAGGACCCCACGTGGTTCTCCGCAGGCAGCCGGGGGCCGTGTACGGGAGGGACCAGCGCTCCTAGCCTGCCATGGACGGTCTCACTGCGCCTGGACAGCTGGGGCGGCGTCTCTGAGGGAGGGCCAAGCCCTGTGAGCACCGTGATGCTCAGAGCCAGGAGGACAGAGGATGCCTGTTCCTGTTCCTGTGCTGTGGTGCCCGGCACCGACCAGGGCAGCGACAAACGTCTCCTTTTTTTGTTTTGTTTTGTTTTTTGGGTCACACCGGTGATGCTCAGTGGTTACTCCTGGCTCATACACTCAGGAATTACTCCTGGAGGTGCTCAGGGGACCATATGGGATGCTGGGAATCGAACCCGGGTTAGCCGCGTGCAAGGCAAACGCCCTCCCCACTGTGCTATCGCTCCAGCCCCAAACGTCTCTTTTCTTAAAGCAAGACGATTTCAACTGCACCTCGATCCCACGGACCAGGCAATGGTCTTCTCCCCCCGGACAGCCAAGCCTCTCCATAAAGAGACTGCACACGGCGCCCTCAGGACCAGGGTCTGGGGGTGGGGGGCCCGACCCCACGCCCGGCTGCCCCCCTCGGTGCCCGGCCCACCTTGTGCCAGGATGTTCCACTGCATGACGCGGATGGGCGGGTGCCGGCTGGGCCTGTCCGTCCGCGCGGCCACGAAGTCCCTCCGGCAGCGGGGCGGCCGGCCCTGCAGCACGGCCCTGCACTCGGCCAGCAGCTCCTGCGGCTCCAGCGGCTCCGGCGGCTCCGGCTCGGGCGCCACCAGGTAGGCCGGGTGCTGGGCTGCCGCGCCGGGCAGGCTCTTGGCGAGGGCGCTGTACAGGCGGCTCGTGCCGCTGCCCATGGGAGTGACTGCGGAGAGGAAGAGTGGGTCACCGGGGGCCACGTCCGGCGGGGCCTTCACGTCCCTCCACGGGCACGGCAAAGGGCCCTCCCCACCGCCACCGCCCCGACTCCCCGGCCTGAGCCAGGCCAGGAGACCCCCGGAGGGAGCCCCCTGCCCACCTCCTCCGTGTCGGCGGGAAACGGGACAGGGGGGCATCGCACAGGGGGACAGGGGACAGGGCAGGGCAGCTTGGCCCTGAGGCTGTGCCTGAGGACTGTGGTTACCGAGCACTCCCTGTGTCCCCGGCACCCGCATCCGCCCACGGCACAGAAACTATGGGAAGGGCAGCTGCTGGGGACAGCCACGGGCCCTGCCCGCTCAAGCCAGAAGGAGTCTGAAAGGGGTGTGAAGTGTGCACGCACACGGGCACATACACAAGCGCGTCCACACGGGCTCACAAACACACGGACGAACAATCTCAGACACTCGGCTCACTGTCACCATCTCCCTGCGGTGACCACTGGGGTGGGCATGTGACTCCCGGGTGGCTGGAACAGGACCCACAGCAACAGCAGATGCAGCCTGTCGGGAAGCAGCTCAGGCCCCCGCATGCTTCCCAGGCCCAGGCCCCCAGTGCTCCCCAGACCCCCAAGTGCTCCCAGCAGTCCCAGGGGTGGCTGAAGCTGCAGCTGCTCTGGGGACTTGTCCAGGGAACGGCCGCCAGGAGTCCCTTATCGTGGAGCCCCCGCGTGAGCTCCCCCACCTGGAGTCCGGCCCAGGCTCTCCTGAGGGGGCCACCCGCTGCACCCCCAGCACACAGAACGCCGCTCTGCGGACACGGCAGCCCCACACTGCCACCTGCTGGCCGGTGCACTCAGCAGGATCCTGGGGGCCCCCACCCACGTGCTGGGTGTCGGGACCTCAAGAGGCCCCCTGAGGTGCTCATTCCCCCAGGTGAGACACGAGGTACAGGTCTGGGATGGATGGACGGACAGAGGGGCGGACGGACGCCAGGCAGCCCCCACCCCTGTCCCCAGAACGGCTCCCACAGGGCCTCGGGGCCACGCTGCAGTGATGTGGTTGTCACTTCAGTCAGGGCCAGCGCTGGGCTGCGTGGTGGCCGTCGGGGGGCGCTGGGGTGAGAGCCGGGCGGGGGTGTCTGCGAGGCCGGGGCTATCCTGTGGACACTGCCTGGCAGCACCCGGGGCAGGCCCCGGGACACAGGGTCAGGCCAAGGCCCAAGTCCAGTCCTGCTGCTGACGTCATTGTCACGGACAGCATGTCCAGCTGCTCAGCGAGCCACGTGCTGGCCCTCCTGAGCTCCCTGAAGGTCACCACTGGCACCAAGGTGGCTAAAAATACCAGCACCTGGGTGTGTGGACGAACGGGCGACCTTTCCGGCAGGCCGGGTGACAGCACAGAGCTCCCAGGAACAGAGCCGGAGCGCGGGCCCAGGCCCTTGCCCGCACGCGGCTGACCCAGGTTCGGCGCCCGCAGGGCACTGGGTCCCCCCGGTCTGGCCCAGGAGAGGAGCTGCCGTGTCGCCGTGGCAAGCGCCCCAAGACCCACAGACACCTGGGCTGACACCGGGCCACACCACCTGCCCGGTCCTTAAACTGGGTCACCTGAGCAACAGTAACCCGGGCTTCCTGGCAGCCCTGGCCCATGTCACGCTTCTCGGGGAAAAGGAGGAAGAGGAAGCAGATAAAGTAACAGCGCCTGGACCAAACCCAACACCGGCCCACTGCACCACCCCACCCCACCCTGCCCCGCCCTTACCCCCCCCCCCCCCCGCCAGGTGCTCTGGGCCGGAGAGGCCACTTCTGCTCAGGTGAATGCTCAGGGCAACCCGAACCCTGACTCCCAGCTCAGATCTTTACTTTCCAGAACCTTCCAGAACCTTCTCCTGTGCTATGGAGGCGTGTCGGTCCAAAGCCTGCCCCCCTCACCCCCAGCCCCCTGGCCTCGGCCCAGCTTTCCAAAGTTACTGGGGTCTCTGGTTACAGGGACACTTCCCCAGGCTTCTACCAGGACAGCAGGAGTCTGCGCTGTACCCAACCTCCTGGAAGATTCTAGAAGTGCCTCTTCCTCCCCGGGGGCGCCCGTCCTGGAGCACTGTGTCCTGGTGTCACTACGCCCGCCTTCTTCCTTCCTCTTCACTCTCCCGCTCACGCCCTTGTGGCCCCCACAAACCCAGCCACACTGCTTTCTCCACTTTTGAGCAATCAGCCTCGTGGGGGCCCCGTGCGGCAGGAGACCCCCACAGCCACTGTACTGCAACTGCTCTTCTTTCAGCGGGTGGGGGGCCGGTTGTGCTCAGGCCCACAGGGCTGCAAGGGATGAAGTGGGGGCCCCCTGGACTGTCTCTCCTCGGGGTGCTGCCGGCCTCGGTTTCCCTGCTGCTACTCGGCCTCTTCCAGTGTCCCCGCCGGCCAGAATGCAGAGCTACCCCCCAGAACAGGCTCCGAACCCCAAGCCTGGATGGGGGGCTTCCTGGAACGCAGTGAAACGAGGGCAGAGGGCAGGAGGACTGGGCCCGCAGGGGGCAGTGGCCTCGGGCTGGGAGAGCCCAGAGAGCCTCCGAGAGCTGTTCTCCCTGCTATCCTGCGAGTAGTCCAGGGAGAGGCAGGGGTGAGTCAGGAGGTCAGCGCAGGGGAGGGTCTGGAGGTGCAGGGGTGGGTCAGGGGAGGCAGGGCCCCTGTGGCTCTCACACCTTTCCAGCATTAGAGAAGTGCCCGCATGTGGCAGCTGGAGGAAGCAGAAACCGCGGCCCCATCAGACCGGCCAGGGCCCGCAGGAAGGGGCCCCGGAAAGGAACTGCAGCAGGCCCGAGGAGCCCCCGCGCATGCAGCGAGATGCCAGGCTGAGGCCACCAGCCCCGGAGAGTCACTCAAGGGCTTGGTGCCCTCCCACGACAGGGGAGGCGGAAGCAAAAGCACTGACGTGTCGTCCCCTCCCTGGGGGGCACTTAGGCCTAGTCCCCTCCCCGAGACTCTTCCCCCGGGGCAGGCCACGACCCCGGGAGGCAGCAGCGACTTTTCCATCACTGTGAAGGGCAATGGCCTGACACGGACTGCGGTCAGGGCACCCGGGAACTGAGTGCAGGCCGGGGGACGCCTCCCCCCCCCCCCCCCACAGCCCAGAGAGCGTGAGGGGTAGGGAAAGGATGATGCAGAACCCACTGTAATGGGGAGTGACAGTCCAGGGTTAGGGCGCTGGCCCTGCACACAAACAACTCGGGTTCGAGCCCCGGCAGCCCATACACTCCCCAGAGCCCCGCCAGGAGTGACCCCCGAGTGCAGAGCCAGCGTGCGGCTCCGAACCAAAAGGATCCAGAGGTTGCTTCCTGGGCGGAGGGAAACAGAAGCGCCTGGTCTGTCCCTCGCAGGCCCCGTCTGAGCCCAGGGAACCCGCCAGGTGCTTCCCCACGCCCACTCAGCGCTGTCCAAACACACCTTCGCCTCCTCCGTCCCAGTCCAACTCCAGCCTGAAAACACCGGCACAGCCAGTGCCCAAGGAAGCTTCTACTGAGTGCACAAAAGGGGTGTCGTGAAGCACCCACTGACGGCCTGCGGAGAATCTTCCCCGCCCCTGCCGCCCTGTAAGCGCCTTCACACTGTCTTTGCCCTCCAGATCAAAAACACACCCAAGGGGTTGGAGCGACAGCACAGTGGGAAGGGTGTTTGCCTTGCACGCGGCCAACCCGGGTTCGATTCCCAGCATCCCATATGGTCCCCTGAGCACCGCCAGGAGTAATTCCTGAGTGCACAAGCAGGAGTAACCCCTGTGCATCGCCAGGTATGACCCCCCCAAAAAAAACCACACCCAAACGGGGGGGCAGGAACCACAGCACAGCAGAGAGGGCATGTGCCTTGCATGAAGCTGGCCCGGTTTTGAGCCTTGGAGCCTACCAGGAGAGACCCCTGAGCACAGAGCCGGGAGTAATTCCTGAGCTCCGTAGGGTGTGGCCCCCCCGAACCAAAACAAAACCCTCAAACAGCCCGCACCTAAAACCTAAGTATGCCCCGGAACTGGCCTGGAGACTGAGCAGTCCCTTCTAAAGGCACAGCGGTGGGCTGGAGAGGTGACAGCTCCACGAACCCTGCCTGGGGTAGAGTGCCAGCCCCACCGGGTTCCCCAAGAACAGCAGGCGGCAACCACCCCCCCCCCCCCCAGCACCGAAGCCAGTGGAAACAAACAAAAATAAACAGCAGAACCGCAAGCAGCCAGCCTGGAGTTGCAGGGAGGATTTACAGTGGCTTGAGATCCTTCAAGGCCTCCCCCGCCCCCCATTTCTTTTAATCTGTCGCTGAAACACTTTCCCCGTTCCAACCCTCTCAGGGCAGGCGGGCTATCAGGCGGGCCCACCTCACTGACTGCAGCTCTCAGTATCTGCATCCCACACCCCCTGCGGTGCGTTCAGCCTGGGGGAACCTGAGATAGAAGCTGGCAGGCCCCGCTCACGCTGCGCACAGCAGACCCAACAGCTGGACAGTTCCAAGTGACCGCTTCAATTCCATTTTGAATGCTCACGTTTTTCTTATTTTTATTTTTTTTGGGGGGAACCACACCCGGTGATGCTCAGGGGTTACTCCTGGCGATGCATGGGAGACCCTATGGGGTGCCAGGGATCAAACCTGGGCTGGCTGCTTGCAAGGCAAGTGCCCTACACACAGGACTATCTCTCCAGCCCCTTGAATGATCACATTTATCATGCAAAAAAAAAAGTGCCTTATACTCTTTCTGCTGCTTAGTCTTCATCAATAAAAAAGGAATTCAAATATTGTAGAGCAAAATGCAACCATTATAATCTAGAAAAGTCCCCGCAAACGCTCCGCTTGAGCACAAACCTAGGTGTTACACCCACCAACTGCCCCCCCCCCCGCCCCCCCAGTCGTGTCATCCCATCAACCAAGCCACTAAGGGCTCTGAAAGAGAAACTGTTTCTCACCTTTAAGAGCCTGAGTAACCCACAAAGTAATTTTGCACCTCAAACGAGGTGGAGAAAACAGGGGAAGGGAGCCCATGATGCATACAGCTGGCTGGGCACAGGGGCGCTGTCCTGCCTTGGCCAGACCCTAACCGACTCCCCAGGGCATACAGTGTCCTGGGCATTGAGAAAGACAGGAAACTCGCTACTCCTCCGGGTGAGACCCCAGGGCACTGAGCAAGAGGCGCTTGCCTGAGCACCACCAGGGGTGGCCCCCAACAAAACACCGGCATGCAAGACCCACCCTCACCCCCACCACGTACACGCCAAACGAGTGAGTGCATTAGAACTTGAGAAGAAAATGCAAAGGACATGGTCGCTGATTCTCAGCCGCTCAGCGGGCGGTGTGGAAGCCTCACTGCACCCACCCCCAAGACCCCTCTACCCATTCCCCGCCACCCCGGGAGTGCTCAGGGATCCCTCCTCGTGGGGCTCCGGGGTCGAACCGGGTGGGCCGGGTGCAAGGCAAGCGCCCTCTCCGCCGGACCATCGCTCCGGCCCTGATATTTTTCCCCCCATATTTTTAAAAAGAAAAATTCGCCCCCATGTAACTCAATCAGTTACAAACCAACCAAACGAAACCACCTAAAAGCCCCGAGGGTCCCGGCAGGACCCGGGGATGGAAGGAAGGTCAGAAGCGTCCCGGATGCAGGGGGGATCCGCCCGGGCCCGTCCACCCGGGCCCGCACCGCGTCCCCCGCCCGGGGCGGATCGCGTCCATCCGGCCCACGCCGCGTCCACCCGGGCCCGGACCGCACCGCGTCCCCCCGGCGCGGCGCCCTTCATCCCGACCCGCGCGCGGTCCCCGGCGCGCCGCCCCCATCCCGGCCCCGGCTCCCGGCGCGCCGCCCCCCATCCTGGACCGGTCCCCGGCGCGCCGCCCTCCAACCCGGTCCCGGTCCCCGTCCCCCAGCGCGCCGCCCCCATCCCGGTCCCGGTCCCCGGCGCGCCGCCCCCCATCCTGGACCCGGTTCCCGGCACGTCGCCCTCCCCATCCCGGTCCCCTGCCCGGGGCGCGCCGCCTCTATCCCGGCCCCGGTCCCCGGCGCGCCGCCCCCCATCCCGGCCCCGGTCCCCGGCGCGCCGCCCCCCATCCCGGCCCCGGTCCCCGGCGCGCCGCCCCCCATCCCGGCCCCGGTCCCCGGCGCGCCGCCCCCCATCCCGGCCCCGGTCCCCGGCGCGCCGCCCCCATCCCGGCCCCGACCCCCGGCGCGCCGCCCCCATCCCGGCCCCGGCCGCGCGGCTCACCTGGCGGGGCGGCGGCGCTCGCGGCGGGCGGGCGGCGGGCGGGCGGGCGGCGGCGCGGGCGCGGCGCGTCGGGCCGCAGCAGCGCGGAGCACAGGCGCCGCGGGCTCTGCAACATGCCGGGCGGGCGCCGCCGCGCCAACCGCCGCGGCCGGGCTCGGGGGCTCCGGGCGCGGGTCCCGGGGGGCTGCGCGGCGGCTCGGGCGGCGGCACCGACTGCCGCGGGCGGGTCGCGGGCCGCGCGCCGACCGGGCGGGCGCTACCAGCGGCGGCGCGGCGCGGGGGGCGCGCGGGATCCCGGCGCCCGCGGTGGGCGCGCGCGGGGGCCCCGATGCCCGCCGGTCCCTCCCCGGCGATGGGCGCGGACCCCCGGGCGGGCGGGCGCCGGGAGGCCGCGGGGGTCCCGAGCCGCGCTGAGCCCGGCGAGCCGCCGCGCGGGGACGCGTCCCCCCCCGCCCGTGGGTGCGATGGAAGCGCCCAGAGCCTGGGAGTCGGGAGGCGCTGGCGGGGCCGGGGCCCCCGGGACACGTGTGCGCCGCGCCGGGGCGCCCACCCTGCGCCCCGGAACCCGGGCCGGCCGCGGCCCAGCGCGGGGGGCGTCCCGGAGAGCCGAGCGCGCCCCGACGGCGTCCCGGGGCCGCGTGGGGGTCGGGTCTCGGGCGCGCCGACCTCGCCTCTGGGTCCAGCAGGTGGGCTCGGCCCCGCGCCCCCCGGCGAGCCCCCGCCCCCCAGCGCCACGTTCGCGCGGAGAAGGTGGCGCCACCGTCCTGGGGGGCGGGGGGCGGTGCCGAGGGTGCCCCGGCGGGGCTGGCACCCGCGCGGGCTGGCCGCGTCGCAACGGTTACGTGCGGAACTGCGGCGGGGGCGGTGCCGCCGGGTGACTCACCCGGGCGCCCGAGGACCCGGGGTGTGGGTGTGGGCGGCGAGACCACCCTCCCCGAGCCGCGCCGCCTGGCCGCGGGGGAGGGAGAGGAGCGTGGGGGGTCGGGGCGGACCCTTGGTGGGCTTCCTTCCACGCGCGCGCCGGGGAGCGTGGGCCGGTGGCGGTGCCCGCGCTGGGAGCCCCGCAGGTGGGGGACTGGGCTTTCCCCGGGGGTCCTCGTCCCTGGGCACGTGCCGGGGCGCAGAGGGGCTCCTGGGGGCAGGGCGGACTGGGCAGGAAACGGTGACTAACCCGGCCAGGAAGCAGTGGGGGCAGCGGGCGGGGAGGTGGGGGTTCCCATCTCCGGATTCCTCGGGGATGACCCCGGGGGGCGGGTGGGGGGCAGAAAGCCTTTCTCTTGCTTTTCCCACGATTTCACCCAGCTCGCGTTCTGCTGACGTTGTTGGAAGCGTCTCACGGACGCGGCGCACCGGGATTCTGTGCTCAGGCCGGCTCCCTTCCCCCGCTCCACTCCCACCCCCTCACCCCCCACTGCCCCAGCCAGGGTGAGTCAGTTGGCACAGGCTCTGCCCGCTTCAGGTGCACACGCTCCTGGGCACTTGGTGACCCTGGGAGGCCCTCCTTTCCTCATCCGTAAAGCGCATAGAACCTGCTTTAGTCACCAGGTGAGATAAAGGACGGCAATAAATTGAGCCCATAAAAGGGGTTCTGCCGAGACAGCAGGATGTTGGCTTTGGGAGGGTGATGGGTGTAGATTGTTCAACTGGGATTCTTACATGCCTTTACTTATTTATTTATTTTTTCTGCCACACCCTCTGATGTTTACAGGACTCTGCTCAGGGCATTGAACCCTGACTGGCACATGCAAGACAAGCCCCTAGGCCCTCACTTGCTGTACTCTCTGCACTGTGGTTCTTTTTCTATTCTCTGTATCTAGAAATTTGCACCATGAAGCACGGCGGGGAAATCTTCCTGTAGAACATGTGCTTGAGGAGAGCGGGTATTCCTCTCTCAGGGGGTGGACCCTGCAAATGTCAGTGAAGCCCATCTGTCTCAAGCCCTTCTCGAAGGCTGTTGATATCCAAGGAATTGTGGGTTTTCTTTTCCAGTTGGTCTTTCCATTGGTGAGACGAGGGTGTTTAAGTCCTCCACGACTGTGGTTGTTGATGTCTCGCTTCAAGCCTGTATTGCGAATTTAAAATTAAAATCAGGGGGCTGGGGAGAAAGTACAGGGGTTGAGGCACTTCTTTTGCCGGCCGCCGCGCTGGTTGGGGTCTGGATTGAAGCACGTCTGTTGCATGTGGGGGTCTCTAGTTCTGCACGTGTCCCCAAGCCCCGCCAGGAGTGATCCCTGAGCCCAGAGCCAGGAGTAGGCCCGGAGCACTGCCTGGTGAGGTACCCAAACCAAAAACAGACGCAACACAAGATTAAAGCCAGAAAACACTGTTTGTCGTGAGAAGGCGAGGGTCCAAAGTAGTGCTCCCCTGAGTTTGGGCTGGAGCGACGATAGCACAGCAGGTAGGGCGTTTGCCTTGCACGTGGCTGACCGGGCCGACCAGGGTTCGATTCCTCTGTCCCTCTCTGAGAGCCCGGCAAGCTACCCAGAGTATCTCACCCACATGGCAAAGCCTGGCAAGCTCCCCGTGACGTATTTGATATGCCAAACACTGTCACTGCCACCGTCCTCCTGTTGTTCATTGATTTGCTCGAGCGGGCACCAGTAATGTCTCACAACAAATTATGAGACTTGTTGTTACTGGTTTTGGCATCTTGAGTACGTCACGGGTAGCTTGCCAGGCTTTGCCGAGCGGGCGAGATACCCTTGGTAGCTTGCCAGGCTCTCCAAGAATGGCGGAGGAATCGAATTTGGGTCGGCTGTGTTGGCCGCATGCAAGGCAAACGCCCTACCTGCTGTGCTATTGCTTCAGCCAACACAGTAACAACAAGTCTCACAATGGAGACGTTACTGGGCCCGCTCGAGCAAATCAATGAACAACGGGAGGGCAGTGAGAGTGAGTTTGAGTCCAAAGTCTTAGTTTTTGATTTGCTTTTAGGCCACACCCAGCTGTGCTCAGGGACCGTACAGGATGCCAGTGACTGAGCTTGGCCAGCCGCGTGCCGGACTCTCTCTCCATCCCCCACGGCCTTGCTGTTCCCCACTCTTAGGTACCCAACCCCGGTGCGTTGCTACAGAAGGTTTGTTGGCTGCTACAGAAGCTGTGGGCGCTTCACTACCCTACGTGAAGTTGCGGGTGCGGGTGGGGGGTGGGGAGAAGCCTGGAGAGGCTGGGAAGGAGCCGGGCCCTGCTCGGTGGGTGCCCTCTCGGGTCAGGGGTGTCCTTGTGCCGAGGGAGGGGGGCGGGGCTGTGGTGTGGGTTTCGGAGGAGGTTGGGTTTGCCCTTGAAGGTTCCAGCTCCATCCTACAGGGCACTGAGCAGGTGGGCTGCACTCTGGGTGTCGTGTGGGTTTTTTTATTTTTCATTTGGGGGTCACACCCAGTGGTGCTCAGGACGTACTCCTGGCCGGGTTCTGGAAATCCTATGGGGCACTGCTGATCGAACCAGGGTTCCTGGTGGGCAAGGCAAGTGCCTCACCCGTGTGTTCTCTCTCAGGGCCCCCCAAATATGCCTCTGACATAACCTTTCACGGGAAGGGCTCTGAAGGCCAGGCGGCGTTGCCTATAGCTAATAGTTTGGGGGGTGACTCCCCGAGGTGCTCAGAGGACCCTGCAGAGATGGAATGGAGCCGGGGACATGCAACAGACGTGCTTCAATCCTTAGGGCTGTCTGCCTGCCGGCAGGGCTGCCTTTGCAGGGTCTCTTTACAGGGGTGCAGGAGAATCTCCTCGCCCGCCCCGTGTAGTGCGCCATGTACCGCCAAGATAGTTCTGGCTGGAGCCATCACCTCAACTGGCCACGTAGGGGTTAAGGCAGGGAAGGTGAGTGCTCGTTCACTGCCCCTTGTGCCTTTCCTGGTGCCCCTCCCTGTCACACACACACACACACACACACACACACACACACACACACTCACATTCCTGTACATGTTCTCAAATGGTCACACACACTCTTATCCACCCGTGCACACCCATAGTGCACTCACATATACTCGTCCTCGCACACACACTCGGACCCACGTGCACTCACACTCACGTGCGTGTGCACGCTTCCTCTGGCTGTGCCCTGAGTGGCCTCAGCCCCGGCGGCCACTCTCTTTGGCTCGCTCCGTCTTGCCGCGTTTCCCGTGAGTTGCCGCCGTGCACAGCTAAGGATGCAGTTCTTTTTCTTGTCAAGCTTCTGGTGTTTGATTATTTGCCTGTACCCAAAGGGGTCCAGGAAAGTTTGTCCCCGGTCAGTTGCCCGGGCCCCGGGAATCTAAAGTGGGGGTTGGAGTGGCCTCGGGGCCCTGAGCTGGTCACCGGGAACGCGCCGCACCCCATGGGTGAATCCTCAGCTGGCCAGTTGCCAGGTGTCTGGGAGAACCCTGTGGCGGTGGTTTGAGAAAGGCCCTACATGTACACACACGCACACATGCACATGGGCAGGGATGTACGCACACCCCTGCACGTACGCATAGCCACGTTTGCATGTCCAGGCACGCACTCACACATGCACACACCCCTACGCTCACAGTGACACTGGGCCCAGGAATCCATTCAGGAGTAATTTGTTTTTGTTTGGGCTTGAGGCCACACCTGGCGGGACGCAGGGCTTCCTCCTGGCCCCGCGCTCAGGGGCCACTCCTGGTGGGGTTTGGGTGCCAGCGCCCTCCCTGGTGTGCTGTTTCCGAGTTTCGCTTTGTCCGTTTGGTTTCAGACCCCGAGGAAGGAGTCACACCACCTGTTGGTGCCTTCCTCGGTGTTTTCTTGCACCGTAGTCTGATTTGGAAGTGGAGGGGAGGCTTATGGTTGTCGAGTGGGTCTTCTTGGGAAAGATCTCTCACAAGTGTGTGCGCGAATGGATTCCTGGACTCCGTGTGTGTGTGTGTGTGTGTGTGTGTGTGTGTGCACGTGTGCCTATGTGGGCTTCCTCCTGCTGTACTGTCTCTTAAATTGGCAGAGACAGGGGCGGGGAGGAGAGGAAGAGGCCAGTGGACTGAGTGTTGTGAGAAAACGGCCTTTGCTGCCTACCCACGAGTCCATCTTTGAAACTGGCTCCCGACCAGAGTCTCTTGGTGCCCCTCTTGAAGACCTGGGGACCCTCAGCCATGGGATTAGAGCCCATGAACTGTGGCAGTTGCTGGGTCATATATTGCAGGGGGCCCCGGTAACCACTCTCCGGCCCGCGGAGGTGGCCCGAGGATTGATCCGATGGTGCAAGGAGGGACCAACCGAATGAACACGAGACACAAGAGACAGAGTACAGTTTAGAAACAGAGAGAAAAAGGGACAGGCTTTATTGAGGGATACAGGCTGTTTATATAGGGTCCGGGCAGCTCAGTCAGGAGCAGAGGCAATATAACCATATACGGTAAGGTCAGCAACAAGAGCTTTACCTAACATTCAAGGTAGACATTTGCACATCAAAGGGTCTTGTGGCAGTAGGTGCATCCTGAGCTTTACATTTGTATATCAAAGGGTCTTAGGGAGTAGATGCATCCTGTAGGTTACTATAGATAAGGCCAGATAAGCTGTCAGCCTGATGTGTGGCTATAGATCAGGTATCTGCTGAGATCAGGAAGTCCTGGGAGACTGTCACCAATGTCTGTCCCAAGCAGTTCCTAACATGGGAACCATGGCCAGGGTCTATGAGAGGGCTCTTGGCTTCCCACATCTCCCCCT